AGCCAGTGCCTCACCTCCTCTAGCGCATATGAAACCTCCTCTGGGCTTAAGAAGAAGTTTTTTTCAACTCTCACTACTCATTACAACGACTCATCTGTTATATGTAGCTTGCATATTTTTTGGTCTAACGCCTGCATCGAATGTAGTTTACTCGAAATTTCGTGATTGAACTCTCTACAATCAAACTGTCAGCCGAGTCGATGAAAGCTATTCGTAACACTTTCTTCATCGTTTTTTTCTGAACACAGGCCCTTCATGAGCACGAAAAGGTTCAAACTGGCTCCGCATCCAAAAATCAGTAAATGAACAGAGAAGAGAGAGAAATATATTTAAAAGAACCATTATTGCCACAAAAATATTTGTTCCGCTTGACGATGGTGGTAGTGGTATTATCCTCTTTTCGGCCATCAACATAGATCAGAGAAAAAAGAGTAGAATGACACAAATCCAAAGTTTGTTTTAAAGCAAGCAGAAAAAATAAATGCACGTCAAAAGGTCGTTTCATTTCAAGTGAACGGACAAGGCATGGATTGGAAATCTCCGGAGGACAGTCAGTGGTACGACAGCTTGAGACACGATGACAAAATCTCCCTGATGGATCTGTATCATAGCAAACCTCATGTTTTCACGACTTCCTCCTTGTATAAGAAAAAGACAACACTTTGACATCTCTGTAGAGTTACCTTGTCCCTGTCTTCTCAGAAAATGACCATTGTCCTGAAAAACCCTGTTCTATCTGTTTTATTTTTATCAGCGAATTTGACACTAGACATAAAGTGAAAGATGTTAAAAAGTCATGCAGTAATAGAAGATGAAGAAGTTTTCTACTTAGTTAAAAAAAGTGCTTTTGATGAAAATGCCACGCCGATAAAGTCAAAAGAAGAAAAAGGACCGACAGCTTGAATCGGCAATGAACTATTTCTTCCTTCAACAGCGGATGTTTCTGCTTTCTGTGAGGATATGCGTTTTTATGAAAGGCAGGTAAGTAAATACTCGCGTGGGTAGTTTCGGTCTAACCTCGTCGAACGAATAAAAAAAAGGTCTTTTCGATTCAAACGATAATTTTTAAAAATGTTTTACAGCACAACCATAATGGTTCACAAACACAGACATTCGCTTAAGAAGAAGTTGTTTTCAACTCTCACTGCTCATTACAACGACTCATCTGTTATATGTAGCTTGCATATTTTTTGGTCTAACGCCTGCATCGAATGTAGTTTACTCGAAACTTTTAAATGAATCTCTTGAATAAAAAAAAAACAGAATGAAAAGAAAGTTCACAGAGAACAGAGTGAAAAAGAGTGAGAACACTCATCAGAGATCGTCCCGATGTTTCTTGATAAGAGCAAGGTTCACTTGAAGTTCAATGAATTCTTCTTTCGATCCACCTTTGTCTGGATGTTTTTGTAAAGCCAATCGGTGATACGCTGAATTGACTTCACCATTTGAACAGGATTGCCTCAGATCAAAGTACCGATAAGCATTTTCTACGGCAACACTCTTGGGCAGATCGAATATTTTTTGTGTTAGTACATTCGCTAGTGCCGCTGCTGCTATACTGCCAAAGATACTGCCGGCGAATGCGCCGATGATGGCGCCGACAGGTCCCGCTGCAGCTCCGATCGCTGCGCCAGCCATGCTTCCTCCAGCACCTCCAGCGATTGCTGCCAAATCATCCACAATGTTTTTTGCACATCGTGTCAGTTCTATTCACAAATGACTTGTTGTTTTGTTTACCCTCCCATTGAATTTTTTTCTTCCTTCAAAGACTTTCTCTAGATGGATTTTTGTACTGTTTACTATGGCTATTTTTTTAATTGAAGAAACTGTTTGAAATTTCATCCGTCTTTGGGGCAGTTGAGAAGAGATCAACTTAACAAGAACAAAGTGTAACACAAAAACTGTAATATGCTAACTTGTTGTCGAAAAAAAAGTAAAAAATGTCAAACGTTTCGCACAATAACTATTTAGACGTCCGCGAAATTTTCCTT